ACATACAATAACTTATTAGAATTCCCATAAAATACCAATGGGTTTTATGAGCATAACTAAATTATGTGAGATGTCAAATGAGCTGTAGATTATTTCATTAAGAAAGATGAGGTTGATGAACATGGCAGTTTTCACCACACATAAAGAAACTTAGCAAACGCCACTCTAAATAAGGACTCAAACTCAGAAGTGACACTACACACCGTCCCACAACGGGAAGGTGCTGGTGCTACTGCTGTGCTCACACCAATGAAAACAGGACAGAGCCATGCTTGGTCTAAACTAGGAGAGAAGAGGGAGAGAGAAAAAGGAGGGAGGGAAAGTGTTTTGAAATTCTCCAGCTGGCAGGCTTTAATTTTCCACATTCTAATTAAAATGCAAATTAAATTTATAATTAGCAACCACAGTATCCGAGAAACCACCTTGTGTGCAGCCCAAACATATGGGGCAACCAGCGGTGGGCAGCACTGTCTCTAGGAGACAACAGAGGTGGGTGGCAGGACTGGGGAGTGTTTGTCGAGGACGGAGCTACTGATCACAGGCTGGGCTGGTGACATGGGAGCAGCACTATGCTTTAACCTGCTCCTCTCAGCTGCAAGCCCTCTAAGCTCTCCAGGCGCGGTGAGGCAGGGGAGCACGGCTCAGTTTACTCTGCTGTCACTGCCCATGTCACAGGTCATTGCATGTGTCACCTCAGCTAGGCACAAGTGCGGCAGCCACCACTGCCGGGGTCAGCCCCTCCAGATCGAAAGGTTTATGACCAAAATTAACCTTTGCTGACTCTTAGATAATTAATTTTTCAATGATGGCAATTCTTTGTAAACACAACACCCGGACATTTCTTTACACGGTACCTTCCAGCCACTGCAACTTCACATGGTGAACAAGAAAGACGTCGTACAAGACTGCAAAAAGTAAACTGAAATTTGGAAATGGGGTACTAATGGGAGGGAGGCAAAAAATGACAAATCAGGTAAGGTAATGATGATAGGCACAAACTGTAGTTGACGATCTTTTGTTGTCCAACACAAGTTAGAGCCAGGTCACTGGGTCAGAGAAACGCTTTCTCTAAGGTGCCTGGCTTTTCCACTGACACTGCTGAAACGGCACCATCAATCATTCATCAGTTGTCACAGCCCGAAGCTAAGGTCGGAACAAATCCGATGTCAAAAGAAAAGGCCACATTTTACCATGCGCTTTCGCTCAGCTGGACAGTCTGCCGGTGACACTGTGTCAAGAGACTGCTATCCCACTCTATAGTCCTTCTCTGTGACTGACTTAGTCGATGAGAAGGTCTCATATGACCTCTTCAACACCCCCATCCCCTTGTCACCTGAGTTGGACCACCAACTTCCATTACGCAGTTAAGTGTCTCGAATACAAGACAGACTTATCTAGGAAGCTGTCAGGTGAGTTAACTCGCAAAGCTTTGGGTAGACAATTGGACGTGGCCCTGTGTCACGACTGACACCGTTTCCTCTTACACACTGTTCTCTATATGACACTCATTGCTGTGCAGAGTCAAGCATTTACACACTGTCAGCACATGCAGTAAGAGTCATTCATACATACATTACAGACATCAACTTGAAAAAGATTTCTTCGTATTATGAACCAACTACTTTCTTTAGCTGAGTTTTTAGACTCTACCTCTTCAGGGGCCAAAGCGAAACTTGGACCAAAAATATGGTGAGTTGATAATCACATTGTTGAGACGTGATGTCTTCCTGTGCGTCTGACAAGTTAGAAACAAAGGAAACCTTTCTGTGAAGATATCCAAACTGCAGTGGTGGACAAAAAAGTCAAAATGATATATGGCTTAACCAAATTGACAGTCAGTGTTGGACAAAACATGGCTTCTAAATATAATCCTCCATTGTTTTCTCCTCTCTAAGAAATGCTCTTGCTAGCTGTTTGGTTGTGCCACCTGTTGCCTTGTTAATCATGCTGAGAAGATACTCATAAATCATAACATTCTTCAATTAATCAAGCTGTCAGCTTCTAGGTGAGAGGTCATGCATGGAGGAGACAGAGGTCATCGGTGTGGTGTGAAAGGGTCATGGTTGTGTGGCATCTCTTATTCTTGGGAAGTGTCAGTAGAGGAGCCAGTGGAACAAAGGAGAAATCAAAGTCCAAGGGACACGAGAGAGTGGGGTGGGGGAGGCGGCTGGGGCAGCCACACCAGAGCCAGAGAAAAGAACCGGGGTGCAAAGCATAAAGCCAGTCAAATTGACCTGTCATTACATCAAGAGAGCCATGCCAAGCCGCTACATTATCACACTCACCATACCCTTTTAGATGACAGAGTTCCCGCAACTTACCAGGTTCCTGCAGCACTCCATTTGCATAATTAACAAGTCATTCATGTGTCATTCATTTGACTTCTATTCATTTGTAGGAGACTTCAGATTAAATAGCATGCACTGTATCTGGTAATTTCAACTGAGTGTCAAATGATTATTACTCTAAAAACACTAATTAAAGTCTATCACTAATGTATCTTGCCATTTTAAGATAAAGGATAAAGGATAAAGAAACACATGCAATAATTTGCACAAAACAATGCATTGTGGGCGCTTGTATGTCTGGCTCTTCAGAAATGCTTCAGGTTGACACCGATATGGGAATGTCGGTTCAACAATGGTGGCTTTAATGTAGCAGTCAGTGGACTTCCAAAATGCCTACTGGCAGAACTGGCACTTTACGTGCTTCAGTGAAATTGTTGGCTCGGTAAAAGTAGAGTACATAAAGAGACAGTCTGATGTACTGGTCCTCAGTGGTGAAAGAAGTATTCTGATCATTTTCTCAAGTAGCAACACCACACGGTAAATGTCCTTCAAAATGTTACTCAAAAATACAGTCAGCAAAACATACTTTGGGTATTAAAAAAATGCTTGTTATTGAGCAGAATGGCCCCTGCATTGTTTTATTTTGAAATAATTAACAATTGGATTATTATTTCTGATGCATAAATCCTAGCATAAAGGTAATTTAAATACTTTGTCAACTGTTGGTAAGTTTTATGTAAAGCAATAGGTCATAATTGTAAGCTAATTTTATATTTTGTATATAAAATCTTAATCTGTAAAGTTAGCTGTGAGATAAATGAAGTGGAGTAAAAAATACAATATTTCCCCCAGAAATGGAGTAGAGTAGAAGTATCATATGGAAATATTCGAGTAAATTACAAGTACCTCAAGAAAGTGCAACTCTTGCGTAAATGTACTTACTTTCCACCACTGCTGGTACTTTCTGTTTGTTTTTTAATGACAGGGCTGACAAAATCAATGGCAAGTGGCAGATGTTGCTAGCTGGATTCAAATCCTTGAAATTGTGTGTGCCTGATTTCCACAAGCTATTTAGCCTCTAGGCTGTCCCCTACAACACACTCTTTCCATAGACTCCTGTAGCCAACTCTGGTATTTTACCTCTTTCACATTGTTATTTTACTTGCATTGTTGTATGTTATGTCTCAAAGATGAGGCATAGTATATGAAGGTTTGAGGTCTATAAATAAGCAAATTGTTATACAATAGCTCAGTTTATCTGTGTTTTCTCACATTTTCAAAGTATAATGCCTACTTTGGTCAGAAACAGTGCATTCGTGTGAGTTTATGTTGTAAATGTGAACAGATAACATCCCAACTATGAAAATAACTAGCAGACTAAATGCACCCTCTTCCCAACTCTGCAGCTCATGAAGGTGAATAAACATCATGCATTTCTTCTGACTGTGGAAATTATTCTTAACATTACTTACTCCCAATTTACCCCATTCATTTCAATAAAAGCATGCCATTTGCAGATACATGCCAATCTTTTCTTGAGCTACACATCTTAAAAGCAAAGTAAAAGTACTTTAACCAAACACCTTTAAGCACACGAGGTCACTCATTGCTGATAATTACAACATCTGTAATTTCCTAGCTTAATGTGCTATACATCAAGGTTGAACTTTACCAAGCTCGACATGTCAATCTGCTCTATGTATTTCCCTTTGCATTAGTGAATTTGAATGACATTTAAGTCTCATAAATGTTGTAACCAGCCTATCACTTGCCCACTCATCCACCACCTTAGAATTTGCAAGTGATTTTAGTCATTGATTAGAAAGTGTTTTGAAGTCTAAGTGTATCCGGTCATATCTTTAATGAGTCCATGTTGCCACTTAAGTCGTTCACTGCTCTTTTGTTTAAATGGGAAGAAAATATTCCAAGATTTAAGTGAGCCACAATGTCTACATATCACAGAACACTTATGATTTATTGTGTAAAAATGTGAGAGCACTGTTTTTTTTTTGTTTTTTTGAAAACGTGATTTTAAATGTTTCAGATGAGCATAGGTTTGTAATTTTAGAGGGAAAAAATATTGGTTATGTAGTGTTTTATACATTTAACCCATGCAGGGCATTTATGCACCATTGCCATTAGTGCTTTTTAACAGTTTGATTAAATGCTTTAATCAATCACAATCCCAGCCTGTTTATTAATCACTTTATCAAGCAGTTGATGCATTGCTGCTTTTAATGGACTCCATTTATTTTGATTTCTCCTCTCTTCATCTTATCGAAAGGGCTCTCCCAATCTAGACAGATAAAAAGGGGGATGCGAGAATGGCTGGGTGTAGTGGCGAGAGCTCAGACAAGCCAGTCCCTTAACTTCATTACAATCACTCTGCTCAGACTTAACCAATTTATTAATGGCAATATGTGCCCTGAGCAATGGCTAGGTAAACCACATAGCTTAGCTCAGATAAACAGGCGCCCATTCATTTGTCTCCTCACCTGACACAATGGTGATGTATGATCCTAATAAGATTAATATCCCCAGGATTTATTCCCTCTTAGTCACCGCAGGCATCTTTTAATGTTACTCCTCAATGATCTAAGACTGTTTGTCATCTTCTATGTTGTAAAAATTGAGAGTAGAAATATATAAAATAAATACTTCAAAAAATAAATACTTCAATCCAGGTTGGATAGAATACTTCAGATATAACTGTTAGTGCTAACAACCATTTATTGCACAGAGACAAGGCAGCCTGTTCTTACACTCGAATTATGAATGATCATTCTTCCCTCCTGTGGAGGGGCTGAAAACAAATTTCGAAAACAGAAGCTTCTCTCACAATTGCATTTCAAGTTTCTGTTGTATTCAATAACGCATTAAAGTAGTCATTGAACCTGTCATGTTCTGGTCAGAAATGACCACAATTAGCAAACAATCCATCTCCTTTTAAGCCCCCTCCCAGCCAACCCCGCCATCACCCAACCACCACTGCCTCTGGTTTAGATTCACGCTCAGACTTTCTGTCTCGTCCATATTTCCCCCTGTCTGCCCTTCAGCTTCTCCTCTTCTCTCCATTGTGTGCTAAAAAGCTATTGTCTGCATCATCTGAAACTCTGTTCTCTGTTACGAGGCAGCGGTGAAAAACACGAGAGTGCACAGGTTTGGAACGCTGAATAGAAAATTGTACTTAAGTGGTCTTCTCTTGCCCATCACCTCTACCCTCTACCCTCCTCCACATGAGAAGGGCTGTTGGGGTGGGCTGGAAGGGGAAGCCAGCAGGGCAATAGCAAACTTGAAAGCAGCCAACATTTGCAGCACTCTTGAAAAACAAGCATTTCACACCTGAAGCCTTTCATGCAGGGCCTCGAGGCATCCCCTTCAAGGCATTTAATTGGCTATTGCTTCAGAGCTCGTTCAACGTGCCCATTATGGTGAGGCGACAAGCAGCCAAGTATGTCGAATGAAAAGGGTTCTTCTCCCAGATGGGCCTAGTGGTATTAAAAACTGCCCCATCACTTCTTGCTGTTGACTGGCAGAGGTAATTCAGATGCACATCTACAATGAAAAGAGTACAGGATAAGATGGAGAAAAATGCCTTCACGATTTCTTTCAAATACAGTAACCAGTCAGAAAGATTAGAAGATATAGAGATCATGTTGTAATGCTGATATACATATGATATACAGCAAAGCACACACTGCATAGCACTACTTTGTTCTAACATATAGCCGCTGTAATAAATGACACTCAACTTCAGCAGTCCTGTTTATCAATGCTGGCATTTGAACAAGCTGTGAAACATTTCCTTGGTTATTGCAAATTGGTGAAAACATAAAAATACCCTGCAGCATGCCTCCACACATCAGACACTTTGATTACTTACAGTTTTTGAAATGAAGACATTTGTGGCTCTTCTAAACATATATTTCATGCTTTAATCTCAGCCCTGGGACATAAAGCTCTAGGATATGATGTTCCACTTTTGTTTGGCAGTTCTACCTTAAAGATATGGTCTTTTCCCGTCCCTGTGCCATCTGCCATCTGAAGTTTCACCCATATCAGCCTGCGGCATTGGAGCCCTCATTGGCAATGTTTTTGAGGGCACCCTGACTCCCCATGGATGGACAGCCTTGGGGGAACCAGATAAAGTAGGTGTTTAGTCTCTGGGCTGCTGATGAGGAAGGGATTGGCTTTGAGCTGGGTTGGGACTCATGGGAAATCTGGCGTGCAAACTAATTATGTTGTGCTGCCAAACTGCCTGTGATTACAAAATGGAGAGGCGGCAAAGGTGGAGCTTAGACTTTATCAATTGCCCTACTATTTCTTTTTTAAAAGAAAACAGCTAAAGCTAATGAGATTATTTAACGAGATGTTCTTTTTGTAGAAGGACTTCATTTTATAACAATTCTACTACAACTGGGATGGATGGATGGATGGATAGATTCTACATAAATAAAGAAAAAAATCCCATAAAGAAAAAAAGACCAACATCGTAATCCTTGATTAAAAAGTTGTTGCCTGAAAAATCTTAAATCTCAGGATGGTTCAGTAACAGCAAATATCTAATTACTTCTACTATGTTTCCC